GAACTAGAAATGCAGAAATTTGTAGGTAATTCAAATTTTGCTTAAAGCTATGTAATGCAGCGCTAAATGCTACAAAAATACCACATTTAAACAAAGAAGTTCTTTGGGCATGAATTATTCAGCAACTATTTAGTAGGTTAGAGTCTCGCTCGTTATCGGAATAAACCGGAAAAATCACTTCACCAACTAAGAACGGCCAAGCACCACGAATCGCCCGATTGTAGATAGCAATGAGAATAGAGGGGAAGCTTTTCTCACTGATCGCTTTTTTTTTTGTAACTTAATTTGCTTACAGGAGAGAAAAGGCAGATACTTCGAAAGAAAGAAGAGAAAGCTTGCATCATCAACACTTATTCATATGCTAGCAAACTCATGCAAATCTCATCGTTCAAATGAAGCCCTTATCCACAGGTGAACAAAAGTTTAATTTAAGCTGGAAATAAATTGTACCTGTGCACCAATACCAACGAGAAATATTGAAAAATAGGCGAAAGAAAGCAGAAATGCCCCATATGGGTTTTTTGCAAAAAGCATTGGCAGCACGATAAAAATAGTATTCTTCCTGTGTCTTCCAAGCCATGTCACTAAGTAAATGACTTTTTTAGTGCCAAAGAGTTTTTTATTTTGATACATCTCAAAGTTTCTGGAGTTTGGACCGGGTTTTTCTTCAACACCTAGTGCTCCAAGCGGTTCACCGTTGCATCTGCCTAACCGCCTTTCAGCCAATCGGCTATTTTGTCGTAAAGGATTCGAGGTTGCCACAATATGCAATTTTTTAAGGGCTAAATGTTTGAAAGCAAAAAAACACGAAGTCTATATTTGTTGTCGCTGTTATGAGGGCTATGAAAAAAAATAATAGAAGAGCAGTTTAATTAAAGTACTGAAGGTTTGATTTTGAACTCCAGTGGATATTTTGCTCGGAAATGAGCTATTCTGACCGAGCTATAAAAGTTCAGCAACCGAAAACCGCGTACTTCAGACAACCCTGGGGCCATAAATCCTGCCACGATCTTTTGTAGCTCCAGTATACTAAATCAACATTTTTAAAGATAGCTGTATCTGTTTCTTTTTTGACGCTCAGCCCAGGCAGTGAAGAAGAGAACTTCAAAATGTTTCCAGGAAAGCAATGCGATTGCTTATTTCTCGTCGATTTTCCTGTTCCTCCTTACTGCTGTGCTGCTTTTTTGAGCGAAACGCGTAGAAATCATGGGCAGCCGTGAATGATTAGTGACTGCATCACTGTTATCAACTTTCGGCATGCAAATCGGCGTTGCCGTGTATTCAAGTTGTTTTTTTAGCAGGGATTTATTCGAGCGATGTGTTCCGGTAGTTGCATTTTTTTGACACTGTTTTCTTCAGACCTCTGTTTTTCGACACAGTTTGCGGCAGCAGTCAGTAACGATCGAGGGCAACCACAAGCTACTCAAGATTGCGCTTACGATGACGAGCTATTCTAGCACTACCCGTTGGTTTACCACAGGCAATGCTCGCCTCAGACCTATCTATTAGAATTTTAAAAGTGCTTAAATTTTGGTTTTTTTTTCGCGGAATTAGAAATCAAAAACAGTCTTACATCGGCCTGTTTTGTATAATGGATATGTCATTCTAGTGACAGCGCCACATATTATAAACATCACAAAACAAGAAAATATGTTTGTGAGCATACCGTACACAACTACAGCCACAGTATCGCTGCAAATACAATATATCTTGGCCGCTAGATATTAATAAAACAAAAACGAAAGTACTGTAAATGCGCTCATTTGAATGTATATGCAAGTGTGACCTAGTATTTTAGTACTGAAGCGTGAAATGAAAGAAATGAAAAGAAAAAAGTAAACTGAGAAAAATAAAAAATAAAAAGGAGTTAAAAAACAAATTCGTCCTGACAGTTGGTTATTTCGTGGGGTCTAGTAAATCAATGATAAAATGTGTTTTTTAAGTGAACCAGTAGAAAAAAAGATAAATTTCTTCTAGAAAAAAGTGATAGAACATTATATTTAAAAGTGTATGTCTAAATGAGAAAGTAGAAATCAGATAGTATGCAACACAAATAAAAAGAAATATTTCGGTGTGTTATGTTGTAAACGTTCCATTTCTATGTCTCAACTGAACCTCGTCAGTGCGACGGTTGCAGTGCTAATTGCGAATTGAAACCATTACTAAATATTAGAGAATAAGTGGGGACATAGGTGCAGTAGGGGAAGCCCAGAATGGACCATAGATTTTTGAAGTGACAAAATAAAAAATATGCAGAAAAGAGGGAGGAGAATCTGGATCGCTGTGTCGCTGTCTTAATTCTGGCGGCTGTATCGAATTATGCGGAATTAAGACAGTTTAACATTCTTTTACAAAACTACGATCTCCAAAAGTGTAACTTCATTTGAAAAGATGTGATATGAAACTTATACCGCATGCAGTTATTCCTGAAGTGTTTCATCGTTGATAGCGTCACAAATGTGCCATCCACCAGATTCGTCGCCACCACAGACTAAATCGTATTTTAATGACTTTCACATTCTACAAGATTTCGCCAAAACACTACATCATTGGTGAAGAAATCAGTAGCAAAAAACAGTGGGAGAAACATACGTGAAGTGCAGCAACAGACCATGACTCGATTGACATAAATTCCTGTCTATTTGGCGAAAATCCTTCTGCTATTGAGCCAATCGTATTCCAAAGGCCGGCATAGCACATTGCGTAAATTGTACATGCCGTGAAACAAATTAGTGGAAATATTACAATAAAGCGTGCAATCTGCATTTGCGTCAATTAAGGAAAAGCAATTTTTTTTGAATGTGAAAAGATTAGAAGGAATGGTAAGGAAAATCAGATTACAAATTCAGGAGACGTGCAGACGAAAGATTTTGACAGTTGTCTCATCCTAGCTTAGCAATTGCCCTTTACCTTTCATAGCGAGCAGATGAGGGAACGAATGAGAAGGAAATTGGTTCTTGACTTCGATCATATTTATCACTAAAGATTTTAATCTTATTCTTGTCAGTAACATTTTTACCACTTTCTTCTACCACCGTTACTTGAAACACTGTGTACGGGAATTTGTAACTTGAATATGAAAGGACCTTAGCGTAGATGCGCATCCCGAGCATTGCAATCACAGCAACAATAGCTTGTGCCAGTGTAGCTGAGGCGATGTAAAATGCACCAGGTGTACCTTGTTTCCGGATCTTCTCCATCCTGAATGCACAGAAATTTCTCGGGAGCAAGTGAAATTAGCAGTCGCATATTATTTTTTTTTTTATTTCCATCTATATATTTATTTCAAAAACAGCCGATTTCAAGGGCGAAAATGCAAATGC